AAATTTAACGAGAGAGAGTTTAAAATATATGCCACAATAATTAGTTGAAAAGTATAGCAAAGCAAGTCAGAGTGCGTTAATCGGGAGTGCACGACTAGAAGCTACCCATACCTTTATACTCTCACTTTAATGGGTACAGAGCTAACTGTTTGTAGTATATCAGTATGTTAAAAGTATTCTTGAGAATCTCATAGAGTAATGAAGCTAGCACAAGAGCTTCTAGACTCAGGTCTAGAAATGTCTTTGCCAAAAGCCGTTGTCAGGCATTCATAAGGTTCACAATTAAAACTCTGTTCAGTATAGTATTAGCAGTATATGTTTCTAAATGTATTAACAAATTCGCTAATAACAAGAAGCAATGAAGGAGTTGTATATACTCATGAAGTGCAGAAAGAAAAGGAAATATATGTAAAGGAATATAAGACTGATTAGATTGATTGGGAAAAAGAAAAATTGCTTTCCAATTTACTTATTTCTCTAAAAAATATTACAATTGTTAGGATTGCAATTTATGTGCTTATAAAATGTATATAGATTTATAACAGTTTGTATGACAATATTTCTATAGATATACATATAGATTTCTCGTTCCTTCCTTTTATAGATGTGTCTATATTTATACAAATCTGCGTTTCAGTTTGATTCCTTCTCTGTTCTTCTTCCTGCCTCCCTCACTCACCTCATCTCTTCCTTCACATATTTTTCTTTCTTTGTTTGTGTCTCTTTTTTCTTCCTCTATCATTCTCACTTCACTTCTCACTTTATCTCTCTCTCTCTCTCTCTTTTACCTTTCTTTCTGTCTCCCTCTCTCTTTCTCTTCGCCAGACAAACGTCTGCCTTTGCTTCCTCTCCTCTTCCCTTTCTTCCCTTATCACTCTCACTTTCTGTCTCTCTCTTTGTCTAATAGTTTCTCCTCCTCCGCTCACCTCGCCTCTACCTCCCTCTCTAACTGACCCCATATCTCAGGCTGTCTCAAACTAATACTCTCTCGTTTCGTCTCTTTCTAACCACCTCGCCGTCTGCTAGAACACATTCACATGGTCACTTTGGACAAGACGGGCAAAAAGTCGTTTGGCATTTGTATAGTGCGGGGCGAGGTGAAGGACTCGCCGAATACGAAAACGACTGGCATATTCATAAAGGGTATTGTGCCCGATAGTCCTGCGCATCTTTGTGGCAAGCTAAAGGTCTGTAGATGAGCTCATAAGATATAGTTGGATTACTCGAGCGATCCATTTGCAGGTGGGCGATCGCATTTTATCGCTCAATGGCAAGGACGTGCGGCATGCCACGGAGCAGGCGGTCATTGACTTGATCAAGGATGCGGACTTCAAGATCGAGCTGGAAATACAAACATTTGACAAGAGCGACGAGGCCAGCAAAAGCAACGATCCGCGCAGCAATGGCTATATGCAGGCCAAGAACAAATTCAATCAAGGTGAGCAGCTCTTCTATTCATAATGAAGTCGTTACTCTAGGTCCTTCTCACTAGAGCAAACATCCAGCAATAATATGGGCGGCATGGGCATGGCCAGGCAGCCCACAGTGCGCAACGATCCGAAACGCAGTGGAAACTTCACAGCATCCAGTCGGGTCAAGCACGTGCCGCTCAACTATGATGAAGACGACGAGGATACGCGCGATATGACTGGACGCATACGTACCGAGGCGGGCTTCGAGGTATGTATACAGTAAAATCCCCGATAACGGACAGCTGGGAAATTTCACTGTCTATTCCACTTCATCTCTCTCATCAAATGATTCCCTCTACGCAGATCGACCGCGCTTCTGCGGGTAACTGCAAGCTAAACAAGCAGGAAAAAGATCGCGACAAGGAGCAGGAGGATGAGTTTGGCTACACCATGGCGAAGATCAACAAGCGCTATAACATGATGAAGGATCTGCGTCGCGTCGAGTTTCAGCGCCAGGGCAACGTGCCGCTCGGCATTGCCCTTGCTGGCCACAAGGACAGACAGAAAATGGCCTGCTTTGTGGCTGGCGTCGATCCGAATGGCCTGCTAGCGAATGTGGACGTGAAGCCCGGCGACGAGATCGTCGAGGTCAATGGCAACGTGCTGAAGAATCGCTGTCACTTGAACGCCAGCGCCGTGTTTAAGAACGTCGAAGGCGAGAAGATCGTGATGATTACCTCACGCCGCAAGCCCAACGATGAGGGCATGTGCGTCAAGCCCATCAAGAAGTTCCCAGCATCCACAGACGAGGCGAGCCAATGCAAGCCATTCCTGCGCCTGTTCAGCTTTTAACTTTTCCCACATTTGCAGACAAAATTCATCTTTGATCAGTTCCCCAAGGCGCGCTCGGTTCAGGTGCGCAAGGAGGGCTTCCTGGGCATCATGGTCATCTATGGCAAGCACGTCGAGGTGGGCAACGGCATATTTGTCTCCGATTTGCGTGAAGGTTCCAATGCAGAGTTGGTAAGTCCTAACTGTCACCTTCGACACCAAACGCTCAGCTGCTCATTGTCATGCTCTGTTCCCACCAGGCGGGCGTCAAAGTTGGTGACATGCTGCTGGCTGTCAATCAGGATGTGACACTGGAGTCCAACTACGATGAAGTATGTGCCTACAGTTAACCACACTTTCCAGCTAACGGTAACACTAATATTTGTCCCTCCAGGCGACTGGATTATTAAAACGCGCCGAAGGCGTGGTCACCATGATTCTGCTTACGCTCAAGAGCGAGGAGTCCATCAAGAGTGAACGCGAGGCAGAGGAAAAGAAAAAAGAAGGTAAGTGCTCCATTTAGCTAAAAAAAAACTTAACTTTCATCTATTCCCACTATGAATTGCGATTAATTAAATTGCCTTTCAATTGACAGAGGCCAAGAAGGAGGCGGAAAAGCCACAAGAGCCAGCTACAGCTGAAATAAAGCCAAACAAAAAGATACTCATTGAGGTGAAGGTGGAAAAGAAACCGTTGGGCGTCATAGTATCTGGTGGCAAGAACAACTTCGTCAAGGTAAGTACACACGCAGGCCCACCCACGATGTTGCTGTACGTGAATGTCCTTTGCAGACTGGTTGTGTCATTACACACATTTATCCGGAAGGCGCCTTGGCGGCTGACAATCGTCTGAAGATCTTTGATCACATTTGCGACATCAATGGCAGACCGGTGCACTGCGAGAGCATGACCACGCTGAAGGTGCATCAACTGTTTCACATGACCTACGAGAAGAATGTCAACTTTACAGTTTACCGCGCCGATCCGCCGGAACTGGAGAAGTTCAATGTGGACTTCATGAAGAAGAGCGGCAAAGAATTGGGTCTATCGCTGTCGCCCAATGAACGCGGCTGCACTATTTCCGAAATCGTATGTATAACCGGGATAACACGTGTGCGTTGCACCTGATAAGAGGATTCGTTTGCAGATACAAGGACAATATCCGGAAATCGATAACAAGCTGCAACGCGGCGACATCATAACCAAATTTAACGGCGATGCGCTGGAGGGTCTTCCATTCCAAGTGTGCTATGCGTTGTTCAAGGGCGCCAACGGCAAGATATCGATGGAGGTGACACGGCCAAAGCCCACGCTGCGAACGGAAGCACCCAAACCATAAGCCATAAACAGAAGACGAGCGAACGAAATTCATCCACTGTAGATGCGTTAGTGCCATGAAATAAAACAATCTAGAATCAGTTCTAATTTAATAACATATTGTGTTCCGTTATTGGGTTTATTTCACGTTTGGAAACTGCTTATGCTATAGAGCTTGCGTTCGATGCGATACGGGGCCACAGATCAGCGCATTCCTTGGCAACCGGCCCGGTTATAGCCGAGCCTTTCATTTCGCCTTTATTGTTTACAATGACCCCCGCATTATCTTCAAAGTATATAAAAACACCATCCCTCCTCCTGAACGGCTTGCGCTGCCGAATGACCACGGCAGGCATAACCTAAAAATAAACACGCGTTGCGAAAAAGAAACAAACAAACATTAATAAACCATAAATTCAAATTGTGAACTGAGCAAATTATAAGCGCTTTTCGAGCATGCTAACACACACGCACACATACACACTCAGTATGTAGTTTTACTGCTGCAGCATGCGACACGCAGTATATTTTGCACATTTCACTTTATTTTTTATAGACTTCGCAGACTTACCTTCTTTCTCAATTCAGGCTTGCCCTTCTTGACGGTGGCAACAAACATGTCACCGACGCCAGCAGCGGGCAGACGGTTCAAGCGACCGCGAATGCCGTGCACAGCAATAACGTACAGGTTCTTGGCACCTGAAACACAATACATTTTATTGAATTTACTGTATTTGCATATAGTTTGCTTGTTTTGTACATTACCTGTGTTGTCAGCGCAGTTCATAACAGCGCCTACGGGCAAACCTAGGGAGATGCGGAATTTGCCTCCCGCGGTACCACCACGTCCTATTTGACGAAAAACACAAATAATTAGTTAAACACTCGTATTGCATTAAACACTTCATTATAACGCCGATATTTTGCATTGATTGGTCATATTTTTCACTATTTATTCGGATTTATTTTGTTGGAAAATACCTCTCTTCGACATTTTGCTGCTTGTTCGGAACCAAAAGGAAGTAAAAAGAAAGAGCTAGTTCGGCTACCGAACCACAGCCAACTTAGCTGGAATCGTAATCGGAATCGATAACGCTGCCACTACAAGCGAATAAATAAACTGGTTCTACAGGTTCCACAATGCAAGCGTTGCCACCTTATGGAAAGCAAATATATTATTGGTCGATTCATGTGATAGATATAAATGTCATGATTGTTATTGTAGTTAAACTATTTAAATATTTTTATAAATGCATAATATCATTAATTATAATATACTTTTTATGATTCTAATTAATATTTATTTCAAAACTTAAATAATATTAAAATTTAAATATTCTTATTGCCAGTATTTGTAATTATTTATAAAACCATTATTTAATATGTATTTTAATTTAAATTTACAAATGAACTATTTTAAGACTAGTTCCACAGTTCAACTATGCTTTTAGCCGCAGCCAACTTCAATCACGCGCTAAGATTCCAATTTATTTTGTTAATTCGTATAAATCAAATCGGAAAAATGACCGAGCATGGCTTATTAAGTGACGTTAAGAAAGTAATTCACTCATTAATAGTGTCGACACCAGAGTGTGTTACAATAGAAAGATTAAAGCGAGACTATGCAAGCGAAGAAGGGTGCCCAGTGCCCTACAGTAAGCTCGGCTTCAAAGACATCGAAACCTTTTTGCTCTCAATTCCCGACACCGTTAAGGTAACTTTGTAATTCAATGAATTGCTTATGTACTTAAAGGGATATATTTTATTTATCTTATAGTTACTGGGCAGCGGACCGATGGCCCATGTCGTGGCAAAGAGACACGCCAAGACCGCCCACATACAAACTTTGGTGCAGTGCCAGAAGAAACCAAGCAACAGGTCCAGAAATAGAAAACATGCTAAGCCTAAATTCATTTATCCCTCGGAACAATCTGATCTCGTGTTTGTCAACGAGCAACACAGATCGAACAATGTGCGACTGAATAATAATAATCAATATAATAGGTGTCACCGAACTGTTTGGACTTCCAATATATCTGCTGACAATTATATCAAGAAACAACAAGCTTCAGTTGTTTCACAACAAAAATTAACAAAAGAAACCAATTCATTGATTAAATCGTTTGCAAAATTTCCTATGGCCAATTTTGATAAGAGCTCCTCTTCGGCAGAACAAACCAATTTAGAAATTTATGTTGCAAAAGACGAAATTGATATGAATCCAGATGAGGCACAGTTGGCCAAACATTTAGATAATCAATCTCGTTCAAATAACAATCAAATAATCAATAATCAGAATTCTCGCATGGAATATATTTCATCTGATGAGGGTTGCGATGAAGATGCTATTCCGACATATGCCATGGTACCAAAAGTTCTTTATGTTAGCTTATTTACATACTTATTAAATTATATATTTATTTAGGATAAAGAAATACTGGACTACAAATATACTGAGGATGCCTCATGTTCCCATTTAGATAATGTTGAAACCAATATTCAAACAAAGTGGAGAGAGCCACATATTGATTGTAGCTCCTCAGATGAAGGCAGTGAATCGGATGCCATTCCCGTTTTTGCAGTGGTAAATATTTATTGTCGCAAATTAAATTGCTTATTAATTTAGGCGCGCCTAGCTGAAGTAGCCTACCTATTATAGTTTCATATATATTTCATATTCTTCACAAATTGTAATTATTTATTGCAGGACGCAAGGGTCTTGAGTGTGGAATATCCCAAAGATGCAGTTCGCTTTGATTTTCAATTGCCTGCGCAAGACGTGCACAAGAAATTTAAATTGGAGCAACGCATCGAAGTGCAGCTTGTGACGGTAGCTAATTCGGGTTATGCCATATATACTTAATATAATAAATACTATCTATAAATAGGTAGCAAGTCCGCATAGCTTCAATTTTTGGCTATATGACGAGGAATACGAGCAGTACAGAAACATGTCCTATAACATGCAGTACGTATATTTTCCATGTTTAAATCATAAAATCAACTTGCCCCTTTCAGGCGGTTTTACTGCAATATTAATGAGATAAACTATACAATGCCATTATTTTTAATAATGGTAGGCCACTTGGGCGCTGTTCAACTAAGGGGCGCAGGTTGGCAGCGCGCACAAGTCTTAAATATCAAAGCTGGTAGCAGAAAGAATATAGAGGCAAGTACTTGAAGTCCTTCTGATACTTATATAAAATCCATTGATTTTGCTTAACAGGTGGTACTTATCGATACGGGCGATCGAATGTGGATATGTCATACCGAGCTGAAGTATTTGTGCAAAGACTTTGCCACATTGCCGCCACAATGCTGGCCCGGCAGACTGGCCTACATTACGCCCAGGCAGGGTACATGCTTTTCTATGGAGGCAAGCAACTACTTCTACGATATTGTGTGCTATCGTAGACTCTATGCGAAAATTGAGAAGATAAACGATGCAGTAGGACTTGCGCTAACAATGATGTAGTCGATTAGAAACTAAATTGATATTCTTTATATTTTAGGATAATACCTGCACTATGATGCTGGTAGATCCAAATATTGCCTTGCACACAAAGAGCATTTACATGGCACTCATCGAGGCTGGTTGGGTGCGTCGCTGTTACAAGCCTTAAAGAAAATTTTATAACTGCAGATGAAGTTATGAAACTGTTATTGGAACTGTTTCACATTTTGTTTTTGATTAGTTTTAAGACAAAAGACCTTAGACTTAGTGTAGAGTAGTGTTGAATGAAAGACTTTGCTTAAGTTTTATGTTAAGGCAAACGCTGTCCTTCTGCTTTTCATTTATTAGTTTACGTATAATAAAATACTAAGTTACATAAATCTTGAAACAAGTTGTTGTCTTATCGCTTGATTTATGCTTGAAAATAAGACAAACAAAGACGCACAAACTACGCAAAAAGATCTCGCTCGCAACTAAATAGTATTTGTTGAAACATAATGCTCAATTTAAATTATAGTTTTGCAATAAATACATTATTTGTTTTTGTTTGTTTAACTGAATCGTCATAACAATTCCCTATAAAAGACAACATTATCTATTAATGTAGTTCATTTTCTTTTGTATATATATGTATGTATGTATGTTTTGTATGTTTTGTATGTTTGTATGTTGTGTATATAGTCAATGCTTATGTATGTTGCTTGTTGTTGTTGCTGCTGCTGCTGTTGTCGTTGACGGCAACCTGAGGTTTTCTTCTTTTTTTGTGTGTTTTTTTAATTTAATTAATTTTTTGTTTTGTTTGAGGCTGCTCTACTACGTTGTGTCAGTGTTTTATCTTCCTCTTTATTTTTGTTTTGTAGTGAGTGAAAAACTAATAGTCAACTACTAATGCATTTCGTTAAATTTGCTTTTTGCTTCTTTTTATCTTTATCATAATATTGTTGTCGTGTTTACTCGTATTGCTGAGTGTTTTCTTTTTTCATTTTTGCAATGCGTATTTAAATATGCTATATAATCGCAATAATACATAATTGTTGTTTGTTTGTTGGTTGCTCTTGAGTACATAATAGCTACGCGCATTTATAATTTTTTAATTTACTTTTTCTTCTCTTTTTTGGTGTTGTATGCATAACGTAACAAGTTTTCATTATATCATAAGTTTATGCACGTGTATCTGTGTGGGTGTGGATGTGGGTGTATGTTTAACTACAGGTGTGTGTGTGTGAGTGTGTGTGTTTGTCTGTGTGTTAGTAGTAGGTCCATAGGACTAACACCTATGTAGCAAATTCAAAAGTCTATTCACTTCGTTATCGTTACAATATCGTGGGCATAAAACTTATATACTTATATGTATGTAACTGTAACTGTAGGTGTAGGTGTGTGTGTTTGTGTGTGTGTTTTTCTCTATGGCCGTGTTTCATATCTGTGTGAATGCTTTAACTGGCTGCTGAATTTTGTTTGTTTGTTGTTTTTCTTTTCTTTTTATCGTATAAGTTATTTATGTACTCATCTTTTTTTTTAGTTTTTCATTTTTTTCGATTCTTATATTAAAGTTCATCACAGTTAGCGGAGCTGAAATTATGAATAATTATTGAGGACATTGTTGTGTAATACGTTTTCTCTATCTCATTTTGTTTTCTTTTGTTGTTGTTGTTGTCTTCATTTTTTCTTCTACTAAATCGCAATTGCATATATATGTAGACTACTGTAAATTGATTCATCATTTTTGTGTAGTTTTTTTTTTGGGTTTTTTCATTTTTTTACTAATTATTATATACGCATGTGTGTGTGTGTCTGTCTGTGTGTGTGTGAAGTTTGTTGTGTCTATGGGTGTATTACTATTTGTTGTTGTTCTTGTTGTTGTTGTTTGCTTTGTTGTTTGGGTTTTGCGAACCGCTACTCAGATGGTTGCTCGTTGCGTGCCGGTTGGGCTAATCGTGATGCCTCAGTGTCATGGAGTATTGCCCTCGAATAGAGCTCGAAACTCGCCGCTACGTGGTCTGGGCAGACCCTCGCGTATTGTTTGCACCGGCTCAGCAATGCTCGACTCTGACCCATGCAGTAAATTCTCCTTGAGATCCATGTCACTGTAAGAGATATAAGAGTATATTGTATAAGATTAATTGTATAAGAGTGATGTATAAGAGTAAATAATATTTACTCTAAAAACTAATATTATATCACTATAAGAGATATAAGATATCACTATAAGATTGTATAAGACTGTTGTATAAGAGTATTATGTAAGACTCTTATATATGATTATGGTGTATAACAGTGTAAGAATATAACAGTATTTATATGTGAGTCTTATTTAAGTATAAAGTGTATAAGAGCATCATATAAGTATATTTAAATAAGAGTCTAATATAATACTGTAGTGTATAAGTCTTGTATAAGAGAATTTCTGCACTGCTTACTCATCTTTGCAGTCATCGGCTTCGGCGGCCAATGCATTGACCACCGCCGTAATTTGATTCGATTCTGGATTGCTTAGTTGCTCATCCTTTTGTTGCATTATGTTTGGATTTTTGCCAATCTTGTTTAGCCGCTCGGCAGCCACGGTCTCCATGGTCTTGCGCATTAGCGGATATTGATCCAGAACGCAGTTGAAATGATCCACGCTCAACGAGAATAGATTGCAATAGGTTTCGGCTCGCACGCTGGCCACACGACGCGCATTGGTCAGCAAACAGATCTCACCGAAATAAGATCCATCCGATAGTGAGGTGGCAACCTGTTGAACACATAGATACCCTGTAAACATGTGCATGCTGAAGCATGCCATACTCGATGCATACCTCGCCGTTGGCCATGACAATGTCCACAACGCCCTCCTGTATGAAGTACATCTTTGTACCGATCGTGCCCTCCTTTATGATAATATCACCTGAATTGGAGAAGCAGTTACAGTTGGCTCTAAGCTGGCAAGTCTTCAGAGGCTTACCTGGTTGGAAAACTTCGTATTTCAGTTTGGTAACTACATCGGAAACAAAATTCGAATCGGCATTAGCAAAAAAAGGCACTGACGCCACGAGGGATCTGTGAAGCAAACATAGATAGATCAGCATATGGATAAATATATATATATATATGTCAATTTTGTTTTCTTCAGTCACACACTCAGCCAGTTATTTGTTGGTGTTCATAGATCGCCCACCTGCAATTATAGTTGATAACATCCTCGCGCAGCTTCTCGCTCAACTCGCCCAGTATTAACTCTTCATCGAAGAATTTACCCTGGTACCGATGCTCGAAATATTCCGTTATACGCTGTCGCATATCGCGCGGCAACTTGCGATAGGCCATATACTCCTCCACCTGTTTGACCTTCTCGCGATACTGCCGCCTGCTGGAGTCCAAGCTCTGTATTAGATTGGTCGCATGACCAAGGAACAATGCATAACACGTGGCGCCCGATATCATCGATAGCATCGTCAGCCACATGTCCGTCAGTGATTGTGGTGGAAATCTGCAAAGTCCAATTAACAATAAATACAATATTGAACTATATAAATAAGGGCAAACTTATTCAAGTTGCCTTAATGCAATCTGACTTCTATCTCTTATAATATTTCAGTTATATAATTTATTTCTTATACAGCTCAAGTCAGCTACTCTACCTTATATATAAGCTCAACTACTCTGCTACAACTTGTTCTTCTAACGTCTTCTTTAAGCATTGAGCTCATCGAGTTTTAGGTAGGCCTACTTCATTGATCACATTTGGTGCGGATCAAACTAGAATTTCCATCATTAAAATACTTTTTCAGTTTTTATGAATTATATATTCAAGCTGTTCAAAGCTATAAAGTGCGCAGCTTTAAGCTTAATATTTGAAGTTTAGTTAGCAGACAAACGGATAGCAGAAGAGGCGGACGAACGGAAGGACAGACGGACGGAGGCTAGCTCGACTTAGCTCGTCATACTGACAAAGAATGTATATACTTTATGGGTTTTGCCACGCCTTCTGCTATCTGCTACATACATTTTCAGAACTCCCATTCAAGCGTATAAAAACTAATATTATTTTATAATAATTGAAGCAACAAAGACGAAGCTCAAAGACTTCAATTCCAGTTTTCTTTATTCTAGCCCTTAATGCTTGCTTACCTGCCGTATCCTATGCACAGCATATGTGACATGGCTTTGAATAATGCCCATGAGTACTGCTCCAGCCAATATGATTCCTGCAGTTGAGAAAAGTGAGTCAAGAGTTAATTCCGCTGGCTTCTCGCTGAATAGAAATGCATTTACAGGTGTTTGTCATACCTGTAACTCGTTGATGGATACCCAGGAATTAGATGGAAAACCCTGTAACATTGGCACCAAGAACTGCAAGCAGCCGCTCCAGTGTCCGATCAAGAGCATCATGCAAATTAAATTGAAGATCCTCATAAAAACCGAGGCCATATTGAGGAACTGCAACCAGATTTATCAATAAGAGTGCACATCAACTTAAGCCCAGCACCGCTTTGTCTATACATGTATGTGTGTGTGTGTGTGTTTTGAGTGTGTGTGTGTCGAGTGTATATATGTATGTGTGTGTGTGTTACAATTGTGAGTTCCACATTTAAAATTACAACAAACCAAATCAAATACTCCAAGTAAAATAATAAAATGAAATTTTTGAACGTTTTTTTAGTAGGCTTTTCGGACTTCCAGCTGCCAATTACTTTGAGCCAAAGCAAAATAATAAATAGACCAAGCCACAGCCAGAAGAGAAACTGAAGATAAACTCAAGATTCGAACAGAATTTTGTGTGCTGCGCGGCGCTTGGCCATTCACAATAGACACACACACACAGCTGGCTCTAGTTGTAGTAGTAGTAGTAGTAGTAGATGCAGACAGTGGAAGAGCGCTATCAATCCAAATACAAATTAGGCATAATTAACCAATAAATTATTAAGTAATTGTGAGGCTAATATTAGGCAAGTGTAATACATCCTGAGCGCAATGAATCAAACCATTTCTACGTAGTTTTGTTTTTAGTGCAATTCAGCTGCTATTATGGTACAAGTGCTCATCTTAACTTTTGCTCAGAGTTTCAAAAATAAATTGATGCTTAAGTAAAAACGAGTATTATATATATGTATATATATATATATGAAGAATAACTAATTATATATAGATATATAAATGGCATCTATATATATATATATATTTAGTTATGCTCACTATTCCAACAGTATTTTACAATCAAAAGCGTTTTCTTATCTCATTTGTTAGTGCTACGTTTTCTGTACAGAAGTTTAGAACGAAAATCAACAAGAAAATTAACGTAAACCAGTAACAGAAACATAAACTAAATAACATATT